AATCGTTCCGATATATTACCAAATGGGTTTTAATTTAATGGTGACGGATTTTCCATCGCCACTCATTTAATTTTTAAACAAACAAACAAATTTCCCCCGATAAAGATAAAACAGAAAACTAAAACAACCGTAATCATCAAGAAGAATATTTTCTGGTTTCAAATCCCTGTAAATGATATGCTCCTTGTGTAAATGTTGTAAGCCGAGAGTAATTTCAGCAGCATAAAACTGCACACGCTTTTCTTCAAATCCACCAGGTATTAAATTGTACAAGTGGAACTTCAGATCACCTGGAAAGAACTACATCTATTCGCATCTACCATCTCTTTCTCATACTTCGTCCTACCTTTATCTTCTACCTCCAAGAACAGCAAACAGATTAAATGTGATGCAGATAACAGGGAACACAAAACGAACCTCCGTTCATAAGCGTCAATACTAAGCATAGAGCGTCCTTTGTTTCATATGCATATGCTAGGCTAACCTGAAAGGCAAAGGCTTAAATTATACCCTGCAGCAAAAATTTATGCTCCTTAACAACATATTATCATCGATCTCTCCAGTCCATCAGTGAACTGCGTTCTCCATGGTGTGGCTGCATACCGAATAGAGTTTACGAGAACTATTCACCTCGTCAGCCGTTAATTCACCGTTCACAGTCAAACTCTCTCATTTGCTTAGGTAAATGGTAACACGAATTTCAGGAGAAACAGTTGACGAGTTAAATTTAAAATTCTCAGTGATACTCTTTGCGACAGCTCCGCTGAGATATTTCATTATAAACTTCGCTTAGCGCATCGCTTCTCATTTAAATGATTCGTTACTGCCTTTTCCTTCGGAAATCTTCTCTTTTAGTAATAAAAAGAAAAAACACACAAAAATATGCATACAAATAATGAAAAACTGAACATAAGCACTAATTTGTATCCTTGAAGAAACTTTGAAACTTGAAGAAATTGAGCAAAGTTCACTTTTTACAACAAAGAACGCATCGCTGAAAACGACGAACCACAAACGGAGAACTGATTTTCTGCAGGATTTGCTTTTCATTTAGACTGAGAGTCTCCGCATGCCTCTTTTTCACTCTCTTCTTTTCCAATTTTTTCAAAGCGTACATTTTTCCAGAAGCTCTGACCTGAAAAAAAACAAAAGTTGTTGAAGACAGAAAGAATTATCTAAATATCTCATCCTTCTGATTACTCAGTTCTTCCTTGAACAGCTTTTTGTAAAACCCAACTGAACTTATTTCGCAGGCAGATCGCACAGTCATTGCCAAATAACTGCAACAAATGCTGCAGGACTACTGCAACAAATGCCGCAAGACTACCGTAAGAAATGCTGCAAAACATATTCATAAGCTACGAAACACTATAATTAAGCACTAGGTGTTAAAAAAAGAAACAAAATTATGGGGGAAGAAATCACAACCTCTTGCAACGAATAGCTCCTCAGGTAAAGTAGGAAATGAAAATTTCGATTAAAAAAAAATTTTCCCGAAAATCGTGTCAATAAGGAGCAAAGTACATAAAAAAGTCACTTCTGATTGAAGGAAAATTTCTATGAAACGATTTCACAACGAATTTTTGAGCTATTAGGTGAGATTTTCCTGCGGTCTTTTCCACAACCATTCTTTTTTTTTTTTGCATCTGCAACTAACAAACATATTCTTGAATTAGTAGTGTATTGTAAAAATGAATCCATAATGGTTGAAATATCCCGTTCCTTTTTTAGCTCCTCGCTTAAAAGCGACACTTTTCTTAAAAGAGTAGTCATAACCAAAATTTCGACAAAAAACTTTCCCTATTGAAATTTTTAAAAATGCAGCAGTCCTATTCTCTCATACAAACATTAGTAACAAAAGTTGATGCTAGCCTTGGTTAACATTTCTTAATAATTCTATTAAAGACCTAATAATCTTCTTCCTGTCACGAAGTGTCTTTTACAAAATCTTATGACAAAAAGAGTAAGTAAAATTCGATGATGGAGAATCTTCACAATTTTAAAAACGATACATTTTGCAATATACAAAAGCCAGAAAATATCAATTAGTCGAGGAAAACCTGGAAAGGTCATGGGGAAGATCAAATCTCGAATCAGTCTTGAATCATCCAGAACTGAAGCATCGCCGGGAAAACATGTTCCCTTCATCTAACAAAAAAAAATAAAGGAGAAAACCGGCGAGAGCGCTTTAGCAGCGGTTGATGCGCTGTGCAAAGAAATGCACTGACCGGAACGATTTGTTCGGATGGAAAAGTGATTACGGAAGGGGAAAGAAACTGGTGAACGAAAACTATACTTGACAAGCGCAAACTTCTCCGAAACCTCCTTTTCCAAGCACCCGGTATAAGCGGAATGTGTGTTTATTCACAGGCCTTTTCTCCAACCATTTCCACTGCAAATAACGATGAAAGTAACGTGTCCCCAAGAATTTTCGAAAAGAACAATCAGCGAGGAATGACCGCACACTTCTGAAATATATCATTATATTTTCATAGAACAATGAGCAGGTAAAATAATATTTAATCATCATGATGTTCAATCCTGAGAGAGTAGGGAAATCGATGGATGGATGAAGTTCTGACGGACGACTCCAAACAGAGAAATAAGCTCTGCAGGATTACTCCAAAATCACAACCAATCATCTGCCAAAAAATACCTAAACCACCAAAGGTTGATGAAAAATAGGCTTGAGCATAACTTCACCTGCAACAACCTTATTTCAAGAACTTTGAATATGGAAAGGTTACATATGGGGAATAAAAATATAAATTGCAACTAACAAAAATTTCACCACTCCCAGATCAGCGAATTATGCTAAATAGCTTCAATTACCTCACCTTCCGTAAACAATACAGAAAAAAGAAAAAACAAACTGATAAGCTCCGGAAAATATGCCACTAGAAGGCTCAGATTCTTGTGACATATCATTGGCAGTGGAAATGAGTTTTTGTATAAAATCATCTGATAAGAAGCTGCACCATAACGAATCACTGGATGACTGCAAAAACATATCGCAAGGGCAATCTAAAATATTATCACCACAATGGAAAAAGAAAATAGCCCATTCAGATTTAAGATCCAAAAAAAAAAAAAACGAAAATTCATATTAGGAACAATGGCTCTGAATTTTCGTATTTTAGCATATAAATTTGAGACTTTTTTTTCCCTTTTTTTGCTTCATCTTTTAGATACCCGTTATATGATTTAAACAAACCAATAAAAACACATAGATAAATGGAAGTAAAAATCAACACGAAAATCGTAAAGCAAACAACTAACAAAGGGGTAAACAAGATCAGTTAGAAGGCATGAAGTGGACATATGAAAAAAGTTTAACAAAAACAAATATAGCATATGAATATAGTAAGAAACACATACACATGGAGCGTCATTTTCTACTGATAAAAGCGAGGCAATTGATTTGGCCAATGTTCGGCGACTTTCGCCATCATCATCAGATGTTTCGTATTCTTCAACTTTGCATAAGAATGCCCACGCCCTTGCATATCGCGCATCTGTACTGCAGAATTGCTCAAAAAGCACTTTACCGATTGGCTGTTTTTCGACCACATAACTATAGCTGCAAATGAGTGGCAGTAGTGTGGAGAGCTAAAATTAAACGTTAATAAGCTTACAATGTTTAGCCATATGCACACGTCAAACCTTCCCTGATATGCTCATAATTCCAATATGAATACTGCAGTTCACGTTGCAACAAACTCGAAATATGTTTTTCAAGTTAGAGAAATGTACGATTAAAAATAATATGTTGTTCACATAGTTGACAAGATGCTTCAACCAAAATTTTGAAACCTCTTGGGTCCCCAGTCACAATATAAAAACCAGTGAGGTAATTTCTCAGTAGAAGATATATTTTCTTTCGGATTTGTATTAAAAAAAACGACTTTTTTCGATTACTTATTATTTAGCTTAAATTAGTAATCTCTCTCGTTCATCACTTGAAAAAGTAATCCTAGAAAGCTGAAACAATTCATCAATAATATTGGTGTATTCTCTAACAAAAACTACGTTTACTTCTAATCTGTTGCTTTGATTTAAGAATGAAAAGTGTTAGCTGTAAGATGTTTTCTTGAAGGAAAATTTAGTATCACAAGGTCTTTTGGATGAAGGGTAGATATCTGATTTTACACAGCTTTTCATCGAAATTTCAAGTCAAAGATATAATGGAAAGATTTTGTATCTCCGTTAAAACTATAACCAAATAGGCAAAAAACAAAAAAACATGCATGTCTAGAAGATACAATCGAGAAACTCGAATATGATGAAGTTGCTAAAACTCAAGCTACTGAATATGGATTATGCAGACATAAGACGAGAGCATGATCGAAGAAAATCATGCGAAAATACAAATATAACTACAAATACAACTACATAGACAAGAACAATCGATTAAAAGGAAACCATTCACACAGAATTCGGTAATCTGTTTCATGTTGTGTCAGTTATGATGATAGTTCGTTTATATATGTATAGCATCAGACTGCAATGAATAACGTTTTCAGCACAAACAATATTCACGAAGTATCTGTGTATCTCTACATTTATCCACTTCCTTTACTTTGATCTTGAAGGGACCTTCTCTTTAAATTCGAATTGGATATCAAATTTATCTTGACTGCAACTGTAGTAATAAAAATGCAACGTTAGTATATAACATTTCCTTTTTCTTGAGAAATGTTATATAATAGGCCACTGTATAACAATAATTATAAACAAGTCAGCACGTTACTAATTATGGAACATTATAAATTATCCTGAAAATCATCAACAGGCAATTTAAGACACATTCAAAATAAATCTTCTAATTTCTGCGATTAGTATTAATAAATACAGATGGACAAAGGGAATTCATACTATGATTCTGGGAGAATCATGAGTGCTATTCAGCAGTAACATAAGGTAGTGCGGATAAATGAGTGGTTCGAAACAACAGCGATTAAAACTTCCAAGAAAGGTCATAACACCACCACATTTCGACAATGAAAATTGAAAACAGCAGTACTACCATTGATGGCAGGAGAAGCAAAGCACTGCTTGTTGAAAAATCGTCGATTCATGATGAACGGATGGTCTGAATCTCGTATCGCATCATGCAGATCGCATCATTTTTGAAATTACCACTTGTTATCCCAGCGATTGTAAAAGTAACAACGTTTGTTAACTCACTGATGGCATTTCAAAAATCGTCATATAATCATAGATCCAAACATATTGTTTCACAAGCCCACTGTTACGCCACTTCTTGAAATTCCGCAACTTAGAAAGATCCCAGTCCAAAAACATAAATTAACAAATTTCACATCAAAGTGATGTCGGGGAAAGTATATGCATTGAAGAAGTGGCACAATTACCTGACATCAATCTCCGACCTGAGGTACAAACATTCCGTGTAGTGCGGGAATCGCAAATAATTCTTCCACTTTTTACTCTTTCCTTTCTTTTGACCGCCATCTAGAAAAGAAAAAATAGAACATTTGATTGACATTCACTATGAATTATTTTAATCACTTAACTGTTTTTTCCAATGGTAACTATGTTGGTCAACGATTCCCAGATCAATTTTTTAGTACAAACCATTCTAGATTTCCACCTGGTTGAAAATGACTCAGTTTTTTGTAGCTTCAATAATACACTGTGGTATGGTCAATCGGCAGGTCGTTCACTACTTTTAAAAAATTTCAAAATTTTAAAATGAATAAAAAATATGTAATGTAATGTATGATGACAATCACTAACAGATAGGAAAATCTAGCGAATGTAACGGTATTTTACAATAATGAAACTTGCGAATGAAAGCACACTTTTTATAATTTCATATGAGCAGTATTCATTTAAAAAGCAAGCTGAAAAGCAAGTATAAAATGCACGGTGTCTATTGCAGAAACACATCACCAAAATATATCATAAATAAATAAGGACCATAAAAGTACAAATAGGACATTAGATTTGAAATGTTCTACCTCATTTCTTTCCTAATTTGATTACAGATCTAAAACTAGTTACTTAGTTTTAATCTGTCCTCAATCTTCCGGTTACGGACTTATCTCCTTATAAGGGTACTCTTAAGTTGCTGTCGTGCTATTAATTTACAATATCTCCCGGAGATTATCGCCAAGTATTTTATATGTCTTCCTGGTGAGAGACACATCTACAAAGTCTTCCTCCTTTTTCAGTAGACTTCCACATGCATTTGAAGACCATATAAAGATGAACCATAGCAACATCTTTTTAATGCTTTGCAAACCAAACATGCATGAACAGAAGACATCACTTTTTACCATTTAAGCCTAAACCTCTAATATAACGAAAAACCCGAAGCGCACCCATAAAATTAATGAACTTAAAAATGACCTATTGTTTCACCTCCACATGTGATGAATTAGAAGCTAATAGAACATGAATATTTCATCCTAAAAAACATTAAGATCTTTTGTTCGTCCAAACCAATCTTTCCATTTGCAGTTCGCCTTATAAAAACTTATTCAACAATTCCAGATAAAGCTGGCAGAAGCCTAATACCTCATCAAACCTAACTGAAAAGTTTCTGGTCCTTCCACTTAACTATCGGAAGCACAGGTCACATACACTATCCCTCAGAGATAAAACAGATAAAACCAAGGGAAGCGTGACTAGCTATTTATAGAAGTGATTTCGAGAGAAATTGAGACTTTTCCATTATGGAATTTCAAGCTTCCAATTTTGGCGATTAGTCTGAAGAGTAGTGAAAAGTTCTGCATGTATTTCACTCTGTAAAATGGCCAAATGAATCAAAAAAGTGTGTTTTTCCTTCCAATCCCTCTGACATTTTTTAGCCATGAATTTCTTAAGCATCTTCCGAATCAGGAATATCGACAAGCTCGGTTTCAAGTCCCTTAACTTTAATGAACCACACATCATAATAGATTAGCATTGAACTGATGCAAAACTAATTACGGTTTAGGTCCGTGAATTCCAAATCATTATAATTAAGTTAGAGCACTAAAAATTATTAAAAACGGAATAGGAACAGAATATTATTAAACAGAATAGGAAACATGACAGTGAACATGTTTTTTTTTTTTAATGAAAAATAACTGTACTTCTTTTTTATGACTCGAATTTGAATTTATGATTCGGATTTGACGAAATCTTACGGAGCATTTCCTGCATTCTGCTTGGTATGAAAATATTTTCATTGAAAACAGTTGTTAAAAAAAACCAGTGATAATCGATTGATGTTGGGTTAGGTAAACATGGTAGATGTAGTGAGAATCCGTGCCCTAATTCGTCCAACTTTATGTGCCTTGCAGCAGACAAAAACAAGGTCTCTTTGCTGACTAACGCCGACTACAGGTGTCGCAGTGTTCGCTGTATCTCATCGATTTCTTGAAAACACTTCTTGAATTTAGTAATTTTTCCGGATTCAGAAACTGTAATGGCGGCAGGTCAATAATAGTAAACATGATATCTTTTTTGGTAAAATTTTATTTTCAGAAGTAATTTGGAACACCACGATCCAACTGTTAGGCCGGTCGACATCCTCTTCTGGATTCCAATTTCGTCGAAGTCATAATCTGACCAAGAAATATTCCGGTGCAGTGGAAAAGAATAAGAGAAACGACATTTCAAAATGACGATTTTTCAGTTAGCTCATGAAGTATAACTTACCGACCCTCCCCACTTCGAATTTGCTTCCAATGCTGAACGACTGTAGAACAGCTGACACTGATTATTCAACTTTTTTTTTGTAGCGGTAAGAGAATTAACTTCGATGATTGCTTTCAGTTCGTTATTTCAACTTCAGTAATTTATGAACAGTTGTGTGGTTGATGTGCGAACTGTTCCAACTGCTCTTGAAATCGAATTGCTCTTAGTCTAGCATCATTTCCACAGTCCAAAATTAACGTGAAGTAAACGGCGTAAAAAGTCTTTGCAAAAAAATATTAAAGGGCAGTGCGCATCGAAATAATGATAATATTATCACATTTGCTTGAGAAAGTATTCCAATACCGAAGAGCAAATTAAAATTTCGAGAATACAAAAGTCACAACTAATGCTGTAGCTGCCTAAATAAATATCAGATGAACAGCGGAGAAAAAAATCGAATAAAATTTTGCCCTGAGATTTTAGTTTCTTTGCACTATAATTACATGGAAAGATAAATTAATATATATTCAAATGCTCTTTTATAACTGTTGAGGCGTCCTGAACAGTAAATTAACCGCAAATACTTCTTTTTTTCTCAACATCGAATATGTTTCGATTCGTTAACAGTGGTCCAGAATCACGTAGTAAATGATCGTGGTGAATAACTGTGATAAACAGCCAATTGAAAGTTGAATTGGTGTGATTTGCCGGTCAGATCGGATAAAAGACGGATGGTTATCAAACGGAGTAAAATAAGATATAAAACCCTTTCAAAGTCAATAGAATATATCGTTTTTATATAGCTAGTCTTTAAATACAGATAAAACGATTAATAAAATTAACGAACTAAAATCAAATGAAAATGTATCTCATCAGTAGTGTAACTGAAACGTTAAAAGTTGAGTCGATCAAATTTGGATAAACGAAATAAATGTAAGTTATTGAAATCAATAATGTGTAAATAAATGGGTACTAGCTTTACTGTTACATATCTAAGATTTGAGAAATATTTCTGAAAAAATCTAGAAATTGTCTCTGCATAAAATTCCCAGTATAAGCAACTTATCACGTACATATACCCCCCCCCCCGCCCCTCCCCACCACACACACAGAGTCATACACCTGTCTGCAGACCAGATCATCTAATCTAATATGGGGAAGAAATTTCTGGATAATGAGCGTTATATGGATCCGGCATGACACAGAGTCATATAAAGAGATGTTGACAACAGACAACCATCGAGAAGGGATCGATGGTGTCGCAAGAATGGCTTCCTGTCATGGAAAATTGAGGAACTGTGAATGTGATTTAGAATGAAATTGAAAAGAAAAGAAAAGGAATGAGATAGCTTACTTTCTCGAGCCTTAATGTAAACGGTGTTGGCGACGATATTCTCGATTTCCATGATGCTACACTGCTACACTTACTGCATCCTCACTCATAGCATCCACTATTTCATTCTTCCTGTCATTCTCACAATTCAACAGCAACCAACTGCAACACTCTCCCATCCCTTCCTCTTCATCATATCACTCTTCTTCTCTCATCTCCCCCTCCCTCCCTCCTTCATCCATTTTCTCTTCATATTTTCTCCTTCTCTAACACTTACTTGAATGGCAAATTGCAGCAATTGCAGTATCACTATTATGTTGCTGCAGTTCTAAAGATTTTTTCCCTCTTTTTTGTTTTTCCTTGTTTTCGTGCATAGCAAAAGCTCGAAGGTTTATTATCTATCTCATCTATCTACCCATCTGTTCTTATCACACAACAAAAATGTAATCGATTTAGCTCTCTCCATCTTGTACAGCGATTATTACTCGCATGCAAATGACATGCAACACATAACTATTCAAGAGTAGGATGCTAACAGTTAAAATATGGAAGACGTTGATGAGAAGATGAATGACGTCGTCTTTCCATCTAATCTTGATAGTTTCAATGTGATTGTTTGTAGTTACTTTCCCTCAACAGAACCTTTCCAATTGTCATGTTTATTGACATTTGGGAATACTTCTGATTTGATCGGAAGAGAGCAGAATACTACCAAAGCTAAGCTTATGCTTATTATTTCTCCTTATCCGCGAATGATCTTCGACAACAATTACGTTTGTTAATCATGGCGGCAATTAATCTACATTTGACAGTAACGTTTTCATCCCAAATCACATCAGAACACATAATCATTAGATATTTGTCATGATTCTATATTTCAATTCGGAAATGGGTTTGCATGTAAAACTGGTTAATGATCGGGTGGGTCAGATGGGGTGTACAGGAAGACCGGATAGTTCTGAAGTGAGTTTTCATGCCTGAAGCGATAGTTTGATTCCCTAACATCTCTGACTGAAATGACTCTTAATAATCGAGCAAAATTACAATTACTAGCAGAAGAATTTCAGAAACAAAAGTGAGTACTAATGTAACCATCGTAGAATGTTCCCCCTCCTCTCTCTCTCTCTCTTTCTCTCTCCCTCTCT